TCCCATAGTGACTGACAAATTTTCTTAAAGATTTCTCCAACTCAGATATACCATAAGTAGGAATTAAAGCTACCAACGATACCCCGAGTGTTGGACCAATGAGTTTTCTTCTGACTTTCATTTTACAATTTTAACATCACCTTTTCAATATTTACTAGTATTGTTACTATGAATACTTAAAGATAATCCTAAAGTTTCTGAAGTGCATTGTCTATGCATTCGTCAGGAATCTAAACAAGAGATTGCTTACACAAATTCACAATCAGTTGGAAAGGAATCATCTAAATTAGAAACATATCTACACAGAAACATATATCCATAAGGAGCACACAAAGTTTGTCTAGAAGAAACAGAAAATATAGAAAAATTTACATGTGGCAAGTTTTCATTAGAGAACTAATGATTAGCAAGATACTGCAGGATGGACCTTTCCTGTAGGAGGTCTTCAGTTAGTCTGTTTAAAACTTACTAAGTGTTCTTCCCAAGGGCAAGCTGCCCCTCCTTGGTTTACTTAGTAACAGTCATGAGTCACTTTCTCAGAACCAGAAATGGAACCAAAGACAAAATGGAGTCTGAGCCATGAGGTCAATCTCCTCTGAGAACCTGGTTTCTTTAAGATACATAATTTTCTGCATTGTAAGAGGGTGACAGTTTGATTACAAACATTACACAGGTATTTCATACGACATTGTCTTAAAGACTGATTAAAAAATAATTACTAATTTACCCTAAACATAAATCTGTCTGATCTTTGAAGTTAGTTTCCTAAAACAGACTAAATTCTTCAAAAAAAAAGCTCAATACCCAGAACAAAATGGTCTTACTAGTTTATCTGGACCATTGTTTGACTCAAAGTATCTTCAGGAACCAGTTTTTTTCTCAAAGCTCAGGGTTCAAGAGGACACCCAAAGGCAAATATCTCGTGTGGGTTGCCTCAACCTCCCTGAAAGCCAGAAATCTAGATTCCAGGAGAATTATATACAACTCTCTCATCATTTTTTCCTTTGGATCATGATCTGGTTATAGAATCTTTTATCAAAAATGCTCAATAAATGGTAATTGGACACTGGTTTTTAAGATCCCAGGCACCATATAGCAAACTAGGAAATAAAACAGAAACACTAACAATTATATTGGGCCAATTGCCTGAAATAGCCAATGAAACCATGACCCTAAGGTCTTTGAACCAAGGAAAGAAATCTCATGAGGTGTTTGTCTCTACATAAACAGCATCAGTAACTGCTTTTCATGTGCCTCAACAGCAACTACATTCTTCAAAACCTCAGATTGAGTATTAATATAAATACAGCAACATTTATCTATTGAGGCACAAACTGTTTTGTAAGAGACTAACAGGAAATCTAATGCTGTTCTATTTTGTAAAATCATAGCTCAAATTTCAGACAGTTCTCTGGTTATGATATCTACAACTT